TTTTACTTGTATTAAAAATAGAATTGGCAGTGACAGCCATCTATAGATTCGATTGAATAAAACTATAATCAGTTAAAACGAAAAACTGAGCTCAATGTCCATGACAATATTTATAAAACAAGTTAACCTAGTTGCCCATTATAACTTACATAATAAGCGATTGAAATTTCGAGTATAGAAAAGGACTGTGAATAGAAAAGAAAGAGACGTTGAAATCGTCGAGTTCAACAATACTCAAATCATATTACACCCTTCAACCGCCGTCGGTTGTCGAGTGCTATGTTGTATTAAAAGGAATCTGATGGGGATATAGTGGAGATGAAGACGTTGCAATTATGAAGAAGTTCTCGATGTTGCAATTATCCAGTGTTCACTGTAGTAGATCAACGTTTCTTAACTCGTTGTCCAATAATTTCTTTCACAACTGTGTTTGATGAAAGTACTTTATCGTTAATAATGTAGTAGAAAAAAAAGTTAAAATTAATGCTAGTTAAAGTTATGGAACCTGTTATAATCTGAGATTATTTGACACTACTTTGCATTTCATAATGAAAGTAACATTCCTTTCAATGATAATTTTACTTTATAAAATCAAATGCTTGAAGAGGAGACGGATTATTAATGCATTGGCGGTGTAATATCTAAATTTTTCTCGGGATAATTACATGATCGATAGAATAGGTTGTGGTATATTAACCAGAGAAAAAAATCGCTGCGAAAATAAAAAAGAGTCAAAGCAATGTTAATAAAAACTTGAAATTCGAATGACTTTATTGGAAATAGGAAATAATTAACTGCTATTTTTTCAATTCAATTTCCTTTCGCGAACGGTGAATATTAGAAGTGATACCGAACTTTTTGATTGGTAGTGTGCATTAAATTCTTAAGTTACAGTTGTTTCGAAAAGTATGAACGTTTGAATGACCAGTAATATCCGGCATAGCGATTAATATTTCTACACTTAATGATAATTGATAGAACTTGTAATAGGTTACAGAATATTTTTTCGATTCCTGTTTCTATAATTAATCCGCAAAAATCTACGTTTGCTTACACATCCGCGGCAATTAGCGAACCAGTGACAGTATGGAGATTTACTATTTATGATGTTATGTTTCTTACGTATTATCGTTCAAAAGTTCAAAAATATTATTGTTTGGAAATTTGGATTGTTTAATGAAAGAAAAGTGATTGTAGGAACTTTTGTGTAATATTTTGTACTGGTGCATGTGGCTACAGAAAAAATTCTAAGATTGCAATTATAAATCTGTATTTATTAAAAAGTATCGTATTAGGCTGCTTTATGCCTGTTTTATTCAAATAACTTCCCCTATTCTTAATAAGGATTTTATAATGAAAAATTAATTAACAAACAGAAATGCGGAGTATTATTGAGTTTATGGTGCAGTAAAATTATAACAAATAGGAAATACTATGATCTGTAAAACCTCTCGAAGCATCTGAATTGAAAAAAAAGAATAAAAAATACTGTTTGTAATATTATATATCTAGTAAGTATTATTTCCTGCGATCAGCACATAACTTTTGTCTTAGCAAATTATAAATATTATTAACACTTTCTCATGAGGTTTCTTTTGTAGGTCCTTTCATCAGATTTATTTTAATAATAATGTAGTTCATTAGATGAACAAAAGAATTTTATGCTCATCACAAAGCTACATCTCATCTACAGAGTAAATATTATTAATATAAAGGTAATATTTAAATTCAGTTAAGAAAAAATTACAATATCATATTTTAAATAATTAAAATCAGAAAGATTATCAAATATTGATTAATTAACATTTGAAAAATTACAATATCAAATATTGAATAAACAAAATGAACAAAATTATATCAAATTTTATTTAAAATCTTTACTACAAATCATCGTTATCATAAATAAAATAGTTACAAAAGTAAAAATAATAATCTCCTACCATCAGTACAATTCACAGCGATTAGTGAATTCAACCCCGCGAACAATTATATACGAAACTCCACTTTCTCCTATTTTCAAGACGTGCGGGTCACGCTTCTAAAATTTCATCAATTATTTCCGTTACACCCCGCGAGATCTCTCGGCCGCCGGTAAGTTGTAATTATCGACAGCGATTTACATACACAGGCCTCTCTCGTTTAGTCGGCAACAACGCAAGGTTGTCGAAACTTTTCTATGTGTTTCTTTAATTGACTCGCGTGGGATTAATCGAACGTAGCCGTGGGGTAAAAGCATCGGCCCACGCTTTCTTTTCTCATTACGCGAACGGCGCTCGCCTATTATAAGGCGCTGCCGCGCGCAATTGATTATTCGCACACTTTATTACGCTCGTCGCGGCGGCCTATTTAATGATTACACTCCGCGGAGACGTATATTGGAAGTTAACATTAAGATAGGCGCACCGCGGAATGCCGACGACTCGGAATTCTCCCTGGCCGAACATGGCCGCGATTATTTTCCGGTTAACGTTCGAGATAAAGATGGTTTTCCCTTGAGAGAATAACGATTCGCTTTCAATTATGACGATACCCGGGCAAAAACGGCCGTGCTCTGGAATTATTCAAATAATTTTCACTGATTTTACAGCTCGAACAACGCGGCTCTTATTCCGGTTTTATTGCGAGTATTAAAACGAAGATTGAATATAAGCAGCGCGCAATGTACATCGTTCCAGATGTTATAAATATTTCTAATGCGAACGAAAAGTTAAAAATGCGTCTCGTTTCGAATTAACGCAGATGAATTATTGTAGGATTAAATTGTTCGTTCTTTGACTTCATTGAATGCTTCTTAGTTATGGAGATTAACTCTTTGCGGACGAGGATTGTTCAAAGTATACGAAACCTTTTGTAGATTCTATGGAGGAAACTATGTACTGATATCTTGCTGTTTGAGTAGTTAACACTAAAACTATCAGTCATAATGACTGGTTTCCTTGTTTCGCAAAGATTGATACCTTAGAAGTATTGAATATTTGAAATGATTTCGAAAATAAATAATTTCACTTGAGTACTCTAATTAATGCCTGAAGGCACTGAAAATAATCATATTAAATGCTAAATAGTTGTAGTGTTAAATTATTTGTTTGCAACTTGATATTACAAACATGAAAGTTTGATCTCGGAAAAATTTCGTCCGTAAAGAGTTGAAGGATATCGTCTTCCGGTGAATTTTTGTTTGTGGCTTAAAAGATTCGTCCAAATAGTGCGAATTTTGCTTATGATTTAGAAGATTCGAACAAATACCTTGAATCACCATGAATCGCGAGTCCTTCAGTTCATGTTTGGGGTTGTTGTCAAGTATTGATGAATGAAGTACGAAGTTCCATTTAAGAAAACGTAGAGCTTCCACCTGAAACAAAAATAATTTCGTAATTTAATAAACGATTGTACATTTTATAGAATTTCGTTATTTTTTAAATTTGGTTTGATTAGGTGTGAATAGATTGGTAACTCTTTATTAGTAACTTTTTATGTTCTCTAGATATTTGGAATATTATTAAAAGAATAGACACGAACATTACTAACGATTTTCTTATATCTTTTTCAACTAATATCTTCAAAAACTTAATGGCTACATAAATAAACCTTAAAAGTACTTGAATAATGACTACATGAATAAACCTTAAAGGTACTTAAGAATTTGTTAGAAAAGAACTGAATTGTTAGATTTCATAAACATTCATTTAAAGAATATTTCACTTCGATTTACACGAAAGAAATAATAAGAATTTGTTTTACTTATTATTTCAAAACATGTTGAATGCATTTAGTTCTTACAAAATATGTTGTAATTCTTAATATCATTTCTTTTCTTCGAATAATATCTTACATATCTTAAAATTTTGTTCTAAGTTCAATTAGATCACTATAAAATTCATTGTAGTAATTTCCAGAAAATGCACGACGTCTAGTATTCAAAACTTTAGAATCACTTCTAATATTGTCGGCTTGCGAAAGGAAATAGAGTAGAAAAGCACACATTTATGTCTTATTGCATTTTATTCTTGAACCCGTAGACTATGAACTACTTTACGGATCATGGGATTTTCTCGTTTGAAATTATTTTACCGTATCGTATAAGGGCTATAACGCGCTGTACCCTCGTTGGGTAATTACTTTCCCATGATAAAATTCTCATTAAGAAAAGGGGAAGTGGTTTCAAGGAAAAGAACATAAAAGAGCCTGAAGCAATAATTGGAAATAAATGTGGACTAATAATTGCAATTTTATCATTTTTCTGTAGCTACGTGTAACTTGAAATATTGCATTCCATGTTTCCTTCTTATGAAATAAGTGATCCGAAACTTTTGGCCGGCAGTGTTTATACTAAACTTGGAATGTAGTTTGTTTAAAAGCTTCTCGGCTTAGTTTCTACTCATTAAAATACTTTTAATGATATTATTTCTCATATAATAACGTTGTTTCAATTCATTCTCAAGATCGAGAATTCAGGATCGGCCTTAATAATAATTCTTATTCTAAATTGTATTGTTGAATTATTGTATTGGAGACACTTTTGTTACAAATAAACATACTTATAAAAGGAAACTGTTCTTTGAAGTTCACGAAATGCTCCACTTATTTGTAAAAAAAGTTGTTGAATACGACATTTGTTTCTATTCAAGGTTACATAATATTAGGTGCGCCGATGAATAATTCATTAATATTTTTTATAAGGTGGTAAGAGTCAACATTTAGCGTGTTTTTCCATCTTAAAACAGCAACGATCAATATTAATATTAGTAATAATATTAAAGAAAACATGTATTTTTAATTTTCCGAGAAAGAAGTTTAAGAAAAAACGAGAATAAATTAAGTCTTCTCACTAATTCAACAATTTCACCAACACTTCTTTCATTTAGCAACATATTTTAACACTCAAACGAATTGAAGCACAAAATTCGAAATTAGAGAAATCCCCGTACAACACGGAACGAAATAAGAGTTTCTAAGTGCGCAAGATATCTTATTGGAAATATTTCATTTGATCGTGCATTTCGTATCAGATTTGCCTGCAATGTTTCGAAATTTATTAGAATTTGAAATCCTGGTTTGTTCGTGGAGTATTAAGTACATTCTAAAACTTTGTGTCTTTTTACTATATTATACATCGATTAAAATCTCTTTTAGAAATCGTAATTACATTATTCAAACTTTCAGAACCCAACTCCCTTGTTTGCACTAGTTCTTTGTTTCGTATAACACGGATTCGCATAAAACGGCATTTTTTAGGAACGTAACAATCGTGTTACACGGGGCTTAACATTAAACCTACCAGGCGGGTAAAAATAACCCATTCCTCATTTCTTTTTTTAGCAATTATTAAAAAGATAGATATGTCTCTGAGAAATTATTCAAGAAGTTAATTTAGCAATACGCAAACTGAATTGTAGGTCAATTAAAATCTCTGTACATGCGCTCTTGAAATTGCTATAGAGAAATTTCAAGAAATCAATTTAACTACTCCGTAGGTTTAGTGTTAATTGTATGAAATATAGGAAAGACGGTGAAGCAAAAATAATGTCGAACGTCAGAATCAAGGACGCGCCGTGCAACGGAGCCGAATTTCACCTTCGTACGCAAAGCGGGCGGCCGGTCACGTGGCCAGGTACACGTTGCAAAAATCAATTTATCGTCGACGGGTTCGTTGCACACGTGCAGAGCCAGTACATCCGTATCTCTATCGTATATCACGATAACGTTATTAAAGGGCAATGGAACGTGTCCCGCGCCACTTAACGATGACCAAGTGGCCCGGGGACCGTTGTGTTGTGTCAGTGCCGGCTCGTATGAATTAGTGCGTCGAACGAAAGCCGTTGCGCAATTAACGGGGGTGCCGTATGAATTATGCCAGTGTTTCGTGCACGCCGGAACTCGGCCAACCGATAAATTGATCGTGGCGAGCCGATAATCGAATTTGACAGTCGTAACGGCAGGTTGATCGGAGTTTTTTCGCTTAACCCCTTCACACACACGCCCGCGAAACGTCGTTTGTTTCGTGTGTCGGTTTAATCTTATGACAGAGGTGATTTATTCCGTTTCATTTTATTACTTTGCTTAAAATGTTTGGAAAGATCCTTCGTTGAACACATTACTCACAGGTAGCCGATTAATAGAGTATATACCGGCAACGGGTGTAGGCCTATAGCTTCTGAATTGGGTTCATGGAACTTACATGTTTGATGCTTTTTTTGTAAGTTTTTAGCATTTCCTATGGCAATTCTTGTAACATGTATACACGTGCAACATTCAACGTATTAATGTTGTACGAGTTCGCGAAGCAAAATGCACAAAATAAAAAAATATAATATGGAATTATTTCATTGAATCGTATTATCACACGCTTATCTTGCCGAATATCACCGCATTAAGTATCATTATTTGTAGTATAAATGTTTGGAAGTAATCATTGTTTAATTGATTGAATTATAGTTACTCGATTTAGTCGGGGATTACCAGTTACCTCCATAGCTTTCGACATGTTAAAGATTGTTAATCATTTAGGAAAATATGGTGTCGTAAGTTATTGTTGTATATCGATCATTTTTGAACGAAGAATTTAAGTTTGAAGTGACCGGTGCTAGATTAGGTAAATATCTGCTTAGTTCACAGCCGGTAAGTAATGTGCTAATATATTATATTAATATTATTAAATGGTTTTTAGCAATGGAAATACTGTATTTCGTTTCATAGATTACATAACTTTCTGATAATAAAATAAGAAAGTAGTGCTTATTTCGATTTCTTGTGCTACGACCCAACGGACCGCCATCTTGGCGTCCTCACTTCAGTTCTATTTATTAATAATAGAACTACCTAATAAAAAAAGACTTTCTTTAACTTGTTTAAGTACAAAAAGTATAACAATGGAATTATTATAATTTCGAGTGACTTACATTTTAGTTTGTATATCAATAAATAAACTTTTTAGTAATTTACTAGAGAATCATGAGTATTTCTCAATAATTTTAAAAGAAAAAACAATCGAGCATTTCATTAAATCTTTCATTATTAAGTATCATTTACTTTTGCAAATTGATATGTTATCATTATTATCAAAAACAAATGGAATGTCAAAGTGGATCCGCAGTCTCTCGGATGAGGGTTAATCGTATGATTAGTTTGACGTAATTTAGGTATCCTTTCGTCGTAAATTCATTGAATAAGAATTACGATAATAATAATAATTCGTTTTTATTGTACTCGCGATCATAAAATTATAAAGGAAAAAGAAGGAAAGATATTTATGTTTATTATCTATGGTTCGCGGAAGATAATAATAATGATGGTGTGATTGGGCGTGATTCATGGCGCGTTTTAATGGTGCCATTATTAAATCTACCTTTACATTGCATCTGTTCGGATATACATATTAAGTGATGTTTAATATTATTTAATAATTACTTAATAATGATAAATGCCTCCGATTGTAAATTTATAATATTTCGTATTTATTGTACTAATTGCTTTTTGTACCAATTTCATAACGGAATTTATCTCCATTTTATTTACTTGCAGATTTTTTGTGACGTTTTGACATTTGTAAATGTCACCTATTTTCTTTATATATTTTTTATTCCTCTTAATGCTTTATAAATGAAAATATTACTGTTTTTGTAGTAAATATTAAGGTACATCTTCTATGTGTTCAAGAATTATTTTGTAACCCAGTCAAATCTGTTGTTATACAGTTCTTTTCCTCAGAATATTTTCCTTCTATTGCTTTCCTTCTATAGGTAAAAAATGGTAACAACATTTTTTAAGTTGTTTAAATTTGTTTCTAATACATTTTAAAATACTATACAAAATTGTATAAAGCAATAAATCGTTGTTTATAACTTAAAGGTTTGTATCTTGACCAATTTTCCACCTTTCCCACATCCTTAACACATTAATTTTCAAAATTATATACTACAATAAACCACCAAAAAAAGACGGAACTTTTTCAAACCGCTTCACTCAGGAAGTTTGTTGAGATACTGACATATCGATTATCCGTGCCACTTCGATGAAGAACGCACGACACAGATCTCGGAAACGGTAACAGACTTATTCACCTGATTTCTTAATCATTTCGCGTGACATGGAAGTAAAACCTTTTACCCGAGCATACAGTTAGCTCATTAGTAATCATAATTATCAGTTATTGAGTGAGTTAATCGTGCCCCGGAGTGAAATTAATCTGATAATCATCAGCAATTGTATATAACAGCTTTCTTATTTTATGTCCGGTTATAGCAAAGAATGATAATGACACTTCGTTCGCGGAAAGCATCGAATTAATTTGACCGATCGGATTTCAGTGTACCTTTCGAATTTGTCCTTTCGAATGGTAATTGGCGGATTGTA